TGAGACAGTCTCACTCTGTTGCCAGGTGCCAGGCTGGAGTGCAGTGGCGCGATCCCGGCTCACAGCAACCTCAGCCTCACGAGTAGCTGGGATTACAGGTGCCCGCTACCACGCCCAGCTAATTTTTTGCATTTTTAGTAGAAACAGGGTTTTACCATGTTGGCCAGGCTGGTCGTGAACTCCTGGCCTCAGGTGATCCGCCCGCCTCAGCCTCCCAGTAGGATCTTGTTTTGATTTTCATGAATTTTGATGTTATTGAAATATCTAGAAATCTGCATATTTTATTGGGGGGAGTTTGCTTTTTGTACAGAAGGAATTGCTTGTTCTTGGTGAAGCCTCATGTATATGATGGATAGGAAGGAATAAGAAAGCTGTGAGGGGAGAATGAAAGGACTTAGCTATGGATTGGATTGTTGGATTGAGGAAATCAGGAGAAGGAAGGGTTTTTGTTTTGTTTGTTGTGTTTATTTTTATGATTGGTACTAGTGACGTTCAGTTTGTATATATCCACGAGGACAAGACTGTATTTTACTACTGTATCCCTAGTGCAGTATCTGGAATATGGTGGGCTCTCAATATATATTTGTTGAATTTGAATGATATCTGGAGTTCATACATCCTCAGAAATCCTAGAGGAAACGTACTACATATAAGAAGGAATGGGAATGTAGATGTGCAGTGTATCATACTTTAGAGCAGGATTGACAAACTGTTTCCCCTAGACCAAGTCCATTTGCCTCCTGTTAAAGTTTTTTGTTTGTTTATTTTGTTTTATTTTGTTTTTGAGACAGTCTCCCTCTGTTGCCCAGGCTGGAGTGCAGTGGCATGATCTCTGCTCACTGCAGCTTGTGCCTCCTGGGTTCAGGCGATTCTCATGCCTCAGCCTCCTGAGTAGCTGGGACTACAGGCGCCTGCCACCATGCCTGGCTAATTTTTGTATTTTTAGTAGAGTTGGGGTTTTGCCATGTTGGCCTGGCTGGTCTAGAACCTCTGACCTCAAGAGATCTGCCGTCCTCGGCCTCCCAGAGTGCTGGGATTACAGGTGTGAGCCACCAGGCCGGCTCTGTTTTTGTTTGGTTTTAATCTCCCCCTCCCCGTTTTTGTAAATAAAGGTTTATTAGAGCATAATCACACCTGTCTGTTTACTTATTGTTTCTGGCTGCAACAGAGACCATGTGGCTTTGAAAGCCTGAAATATTTACTATCTGGTTCTTCACTGAAGTTTTCTAAGATACGCTGTAGAGGTCTCTTCCTTAGGGTGGATAGTTGAATTGCTACTGAGTGTAGATGGTATCTCCAAATGGGAGAATCTGGAGACAGAAGGAATAAGAGTGAGAAGGAGGAAAATGTTTGCATTTCAGTCTTGGAAGAGAAGTAAGCTAGGGAGGGAGGGGAGAAGAGAGAGAACGAAAGTACTGAGTAATATCGTGAAATCGGAGGGAAGCCAGAGATGTTTTTGTTGTTGTTTTGGCGGTAACACATAACATACAATTTATCATTAGTGACATTTAGTGCATTTACAGTGTTGTACCGTCTTTACCACTATAGTTCCAGAATGTTTTTTTCATCACTTCAAAAGGAAAGCTCATCCCTTCCTTTCTTAGCCCCTCGCAACACAAATTTACATCCTGTCTTGTATGTTTTTCCCTATTCCTTAGATCTACGAAAGGTTTTTGTTATTTGTGATGGAGGGGAAATGGGCTTCTATGCAGTCAGGGGATAAGCCAATGGAGGAAGAGGGTAGTGTGGTTATGGAAGAGACTGAATGGAGAAGGTCTCAGGCATCCAGAGGCCTGAGATGGGCATGAGCATTCAGTCCGGCACCAGTGCTGGTGCTACACAGATGCCATCTCTGTCACTACAGTGCTATTCTCCAGGGAGCTGTTCTGAAGTGTGATTTTGGGTGCTGTTCCTTGTTATGAAGCCTCTCAGTCATCTTTTTCAACACTGTAGCTTTCATAGATTTCTGATTCAATTAGCTGCAGATTGGTTTCTGTGGCTTCCTATCTGAACAAGGATAGAAAGTGATGATATATATGATGGTGGACAGAGAGATGACAAACCAGTTTTGAAGTCCTCTAAGAAACATGAAAGTGGATGTGAGTGGTAGATCACACCAGTGAGGTTGTGATTTTGGTTAGAGTGGTGTAAGTAAATCTCATGGGTGATAAGTGCTGAAAAACAAAGATAGTTGTGGTGTAATGTTTTAAAAGTGGCATCAGGAATTGAGGATAAGGTGTTTCCTGTTGTACCCCATTTTGGGGTCTAGGAGAATGAGTGAGTAAAAAGCCTGAATGTCAGTAGGTCATGGAGTTTTAAATTTCACATAGACTAGTAGAAGCTTGAGATTGATGTATGATGGTTAGGTTATTTTGAAAGTAAGAATCTTAGGAATGGCAAATTCCTGTCTGCTATCACGGTAATTAAAAAAAAAACAAACCTCATTTTACATTAAAGTAAGAAGGACATACTCCCAGAATAAAGAACATTCACAAAATTATATACTTTTAGCTATGCAAACTACTTTTTCTCATTTCCATTTTTTTTTTAATTTTGCTAAAGAATGGATTAAAAATGTGTCATGGATTGGTACTGGTCCATAGAGTACATTTGGGAACCACCTACTGAATACTATTAAAAAGTTTTCATTTGTCCAATTTTGTTTGTTCTGATTCTGAAATGAAAATAAATTCATTTATCTGATTTCATTTGCTCGGGACTGAAATATGAATTTCTTGGGGATAAGGATAATGTCTTAAACCTAGGGTGATCTTTTTTTTTCTGGGCTCCAAGGTAGGACACACATTGTCTCATATATAAATTATCTAGAGTGGAACTGAATGTTGGAAACCACGGCTGTCTGGAATAATTTGGAGTTACTGTACTTTATACTACTTATCCTTCCTGGCACCCATTTGATATTGAGCACCATAAAAGGTACTTGGCAAGCATTCTTTTGTTGGTTGTTTTAGATTTTGTTTTTAACCACTTCTTTTGGCATGCTAGGCAAATTCCTTAGGCATTTTTTTTTTTTTTTTTTTTGAGACTAGGTTTGGCTCTATTGCCCAGGCTGAAAAGCAGTGGCACCATTTCATCTCACTGCAACCTCCGCCTCCTGGGCTCAAGCCATCCTCCCACTTCAGCCCCCTGAGTACCTGGGACTTCGGGTGGGCACTACCATATGTGGCTAATTTTTGTATTTTACTTTTTGTAGAAATGAGGTTTCGTCATGTTGCCCAGGCTGGTCTCAAACTTGTGAGCTCAAGCCATCTGTACACCTTGGCCTCCCAAACTACTGGGATCACAGGTGGGAGCCACCGTGCCCAGCCCTTAGGTGCTTTTCATACCTCACAAAGAATATGCTCCAGAAGCTAGGAGTCAAGATCCCCAGGGAATCCTTTCAGCTCTGTTTCTGCAGCTCTCCCTAGTCTCTGAGTGTGCTTGGAAGGAATATTCAAATTATCATTGTGCTGTTTCAGGTTTAACTTGGGAACCTGAAACTGAAAATCTAGTTTTGGGGAGCTTCTGGGTGGTGACAGACCTTGCTTCGGCCAGGCACTCTTTCTTGTTCCCCTCTCCTAATGTTGACTTAGGCATCCCGCTGGCTTTGTGAGTTGGTCAACCCGGGTATATAGGGGGAGGAACTGGGGTGACAGGGCGGGAGGCGGGGGAGAAAATGCAAAATTCATTAAGTCAGTTTCTCAAGGTGGATGGGAAGATTTTGCGGGTTGTTTTTGAGGGGAAGTAGTAATACATAGTAGATTTTTGTAAAGCTTTGCTTTTCTACATTTAAATATAAACCTTGAAGAGGAGAAATAGAAAGAGTTGACCAGGTATTGAAGTCCTTCTTTTTTTCTTTCAGCTTTTTTGTGGACAACAGTGGTTTTTTATTTGATCCCTTATCTGTTTTGCTATTTTGATTAATTTAATAAGTTTGAATTTAAACTTATATGGTATTTTTTTTCCATTGAGTTGTCTTTTAATATTTACTGATGTTTGAACATGTAGTTTTTAACCTATTTAAACATAACCTATTAAAGTTTATACTATTGCCAGATCGTTATTATGGGAATTTTGATTTTAGCTGCTAAAAGCAAGGAAGTGTTTTAGAAAGAAATATTTTATCTAGACTAGGCAAATAATTGGGAGCCCAACTGGAAATCTTAGGTTCTCTATAGAGGCCATTGCTGTTAGTGGAGGGCTTAGGGATGGGTCCAGGAAATCTGAGATTACTGCTTAGGTCTTTGAAGAATGGAGACCACTTAACCTTGATGGACTGTGGTTTTTCTTCTCTCTAAATATACATTTCAGAAAATAGATGTAAATATACATAGAAAATAAAAGCGTCTAGAGTTTTAGTTTCCCTAAGTCGAAATTTATAGCATGTATAATGGAACCTTCTAGTAGGACATTGACTAATGTAGTTAATGTTTAATGTTTGGATTTGGAAAGATTTCAGGAATTAATCCTCTGGTAGGATCTGAGGAGGAAGTCAACTCTGGACTCTGGAGAGTGGTCTTCAGAGGAGTCTCACAAATTCTGTGGTGGAAGAGGCAGCATTGTTGTTTCCCTAACAGCTTGGAATGTGGAGGCAGAAGCTGCTTCACTGGGGCTTTAGGCAGGAATAAGCCTTCCAGGTTTACAAGTAGAGGCTCATGCTGGATGACTGGGTTACAATTTAGTATTCTTCAGGTAGAGCAACCAAGTATGCTTTGAAAGATTGTTTTATCTTATAGGTCAACAATTTTTATTTTCTATTTAGTTGTACTAAGATTGTGTTAATAGGCAAATATCTTTGTCAGGGATGATTTGGGCAAAGTGCCCATTTCTGGTACCTGAATTCGGGACTTGGAATTAAGATGAATCTGTAAAGGGAGAGGAGAGACAGATGAACATGAGTTTGATTCCTGATCTCAATACTCACTGGGTGTCACAGGCAAATTTACTTTTTCTCATCTTGCTCTGTTGCCTTGGCTGGAGTGCAAAGGCATGATCTTTGCTTACTGCAGCCTGGACCTGCTGGGCTCAAGTGAGCCTCCCATCCCAGCCTTCTGAGTAGCTGAGATCACAGGTGTGTGCCACCACACCTGACTCATTTTTGTATTTATTTATTTATTTTTTGTAGAGATGGGGTCTCTCTATGTTGCCCAGACTGGTCTCAAGTGATTCTCTAGTCTTGCCCTCCCAAAGTGCTGGGATTGTAGGCATGAACCACCATGCCCAACCCATGGGCAAACTTCTTAGTCTTTTTGAACCACGTTTATCTGTACTAGGATGTGAGAAAGTGCCTTGCGTAATGGTGTTCTGGAAATGGGAACATTGTTATCCTGGAGAATCACTTTGGTTTTTCTTGTGTACCAGAGTGGATACAGGTAGTCTCCTACCTCTGGACAGTGATTGGCTGATGCCCTCTCTTGCCCCATCTGCAGTGAAGCCCTGGGGAAAGGTGGAGCCATGGGAGGCCTCCACCACTAGAAGTTTGTTTCAGGGACTCTTGCTTTTCCTGTCTTCTTCCCCTTGCCTTTCCCTACTTCATCACATCGATCATAGTGTTTGCCCCCATGAGCCAGCCTCTGCGGTTACTGCCCAGAGCCTGGCTTCCTGCACGCTTCCATTGCCCCATTGTTGACTGCAGCCTTATTTTCTCTGCTTCTCAGATGTCATACCTGGACCCCACTTGTTGAAGCTGTCAACAGGGGATATTGGGGCTAATTCCAGGGGCAAAAAGGGAGCTTTACAACACTACACAGTTGTAGTGAGAAAGTTATTCCATGCAGGAAATGCATTATTCAGCGTTACTCTTAACCCTGCACATTATGGCTCAGAAACTAAATTTGTGTTCAAGTGAATGCTCTTCTTACAGAGAAGTGGGCTCCAAGTTCAAATAGCTGATTTCCAAGATTTTTTGGAAGGATTTGTTAAAGCACACCCTTTGGATCTGTTCATACCACCAGTTCCAAAGCTCACCAAGCTTAGTTGGAAGGAAGCATGACTGTCCTGGGGATGGGGAAGGGCTGCTTTCTTAATTGTACTCTGCATGGGAAAAATGTTTCTCTTAAAAGCAGTTTTACCTGTTTAAAAAATGGGCTCAGCTGAAGGCAGATCACTTAAGGTGGGATGGAGAGGTGTTGGAGTGTACACTGAAGAAAAAGTGAGTGGTTATAAAGGTGGAGGAGGAAAAGGAGGACGTGGAGGGTCCAGAAGTGCCGAGAAGAACAGAAAGGTGGTGTTAGTTTTGGCTTTTCAGGCTTCATTTTCCTCTGTGAATGGATCCTGTTAGATCAGTGGTGGGATGTCATAAACATTTAATCCCGAGTGACACTGAAGTTGGCACAGCCTTGCTCTGTATATCCAAGAGGAACCAAGCATGCTCAGATAGGTCTGCCATTTTTGTTTCTCTAGAAAAAGTTCTTAAAGGTGCTAAGAGGGGTACATTTTGTCCAGGTTCAGCTCTGAGAGGGAAGTGTAAGAAGCTGCTTGTCTTCCTTTTACCTTGTACTTCACTGTGTAGACCCTCCACAGGCCTGGGCCATGTGCTGAGAAAGGGCTGCACAGCCACAGGTTGGTTCTCATTGAGCATGGTTGTGTGTTAACTACCCATGTTCCTGGAAATGCTGCAGAACTGAAGATGGAAGCCGGTAGGAGAGCCTGTGTCTGGACAGCCAGGGGAGTGCTGGGCAGCTGCACTTGCATAGACCTTGGGGAGCTGGCCCTGTTGTCTTCTTGCTCTTGTGGCCACTGAGATTCAGCTGTCATTGTGACCCAGGGGACCCCTGTGTGGCATAACCTTCTGTTCTGGAATCCCAGGGAAACAAGCCCTGGCCTGTCTGCACCATTCTATAGTGCCAACCATAATTGGCACCTCACTCCCTGTGTCCAGTCCAATCTCAAGTGTCTCCTGCTGTGCTTGCTTTTTCCGCAGTCACTCACTAGGAATTACTGAAATTCTTACTAGAATCAGCTGTTTCTCTAGATTTGGAGCTTGTTCCAAAAGATTACTTTGCTTTTTTGTTGATGTTCTGACCTTTCATTTCAGTACCTCCCAAGACAAGAAAGTTGTCGTTTGTAGTTGAAGCATCCATAAAGCATAATTCTGATGGTGGTGGTGCAATGGTATTACTTGGGCAGATTGAAAAAGTCTTGGCTCTTCTCCTGTGCATTTCAGTGGGTTTAGGGTAGGACTTGAACCTGGCTGTTTTTAAAAACATTCTGAGGTGTTTGAAAAGTGAGGTTAGGGTTGAGAACCAGTCATTTATGGGGACTGTGGTAGTGACTTGAAACATTCTATGTACATTTCATAAACATTTTTTTAACATTTATTCAAAATAGTAAAAATAATGTTCGCTACTGAAAAATGGAAGTATAGGAGATATAAAGTTTCAGGGGGAAGGAATTTAACACTCATAATCATACCACTCAGAAGTAGTTACTGCCACCATTATCTTTTCTTCATTTTTTTGACTGACTTATTACTGATTGACTTCACTGCTTTTCAGCAAATGTTACTGGCCTAGAATTGGATATGGAACTTAAATTGGATCTGGAATCATTCCTGGATGATTCTTTAGGAGTCAGCAAGTACTGATTGAGTACAAGGGACTACAGGGATGAATGCATCTGGGGTTCCAGGGGAAGGAAAATCGCAGCCTCAAGAGATCTGGTTGGTTAACCAGCTTAGCACCTCCTGTTATGATTGTCGTAGACATTTGCATGTATAGTTTAGTTCACATGTTAGTTTTTAATGGCTTCATATTATTTTGAGTGATATAATTTAGGAGAATAAATACCAGTAGAGTCAGGGTTCATTAGTTTTTGACATGTTATGTGCAAACACTTAAATTCCTGTGATGTTTACTGAAGTTTGCATTTCCATATATTCAATTTCTGCTTATTCTAATTGGGAGGTTATGATATCTTTGTTGTTGGAACTATTGCTCTGGGGTATTTATCAGTTAACTTTTGTTAATGATATACTCTGTGAAAGCATTTTATTAACTGGATTAAAAAAATTAATTGTAGCACACAGTAATGCCAAAATTTAGTTGGACTCTTACCCTTATGGACAGTTATCATAGGCAGAATCTAACTCTTAGATGCAAACAGCAATCATGATCTCAAGGTCTCCTACAGCTCTGAGAAATTCTTTAAAAATTAGTGAATTGCATTCTGCATCTCTACTATAGAAGAGGCTCTGACTTCACGGGTTTCATATTATTTCTACCCAGGAATCAGGATGCCTTACCCAAGGACAATTTTGACAAAAATATATTGTTGGTGAGTGTCCAGAAGAGAGTGAAAGCTGGGGTGGCCTGGCTCAGTGTCGGTCTATCAGAAATGACTCCTAGCATAACTGTTTCCTTTCTCCCTCCTCTTTGTTTTCTCCCTCTCCTTCATTTCTTTCTTTTCACAGTTTTTTCTTTTCTATTCCCTCTCTCCTTTTTTCTTTTCTTAGGTTAGGCTTTCAGAGGTTGGAATAGGAGCAGAGTTCACCTGCCAGGAAGTGAGAATGGCGGGAGAGCTGGAATGACGCCCTTGACTCTCCTGTGGTCAAGGTCTGATTACCTTCTAGGTAGTCATTGTGCCCCAGGAGATTTCAGAGAACAAACCGTGAATCTTATTTAAATAGTTCTGATAGGAGCATTAATGGTATTTGTAGGTCATGGTCCAGATGGAAGCTGGCACTTTTCTGACAAACCTTTTGAAACATTTCCTTATTCTACTCTATGCTAGGATTTTGCAATCATTTCCTTCTGAGCTTTAGCTTACTGGATAATCACAAGTGCTTTTTTATTTCCTTTGTGCTGTAACATTGATCATCAGTGTTAGTTGGTCCATAGCAAACACACTGATCTGGATACAAGCCGGAAAATCTAAGGTTAGCAAGTGTGCATAGAACAGCCTAGGACCTACCAGAATGAACTTGTGGAAGAGAGCTATGGCATAGGAGCAGGAGAAAGTACAAGTTAGGGGGCAGTTTGCTCAGCACCTCTGTTTTTAGTAAGATCAATGGGATATAAGGCGTATTTATTTGTTTGTTTATTTATTGAGACAGGGTCTTGCTTGGTTACTCAGGATGGAGTGCAGTGGTGCAATCTTGGCTCACTGCAGCCTTGACCTCCCCAGCTCAGGCAATCCTTCTGCTTCAACCTCCTGAGTAGCTGGGACCACAGGTGTGTACTTTTGGTATTTTTTTTTGCTATTTTTTTTGGTATTTTTTTAGTAGAAATGAGGTTTCATCATGTTGCCCAGGCTGATCTTGAACTCGTAGGCCCAAGCGATACACCCATCTCAGCTTCCCAAAGTGGTGAGATTACAGGCGTGAGCCACCATGCCCAGCCGAGGCTTACTGTTAACCTCAGGCAGTGCCTGAAATTGTGTGGACACACGTGCATTCAAATCTCCTCTCTGCCAATTCTCAGTTCTGTGGCTTTCAAGTAATTATTCAACTGCTCTGTGCCTCAGTTTTCTCTTTTGTAAAGTGAGGATAATGGTACTAGACATAGTTGAAGGTTACAGAACACAGTATCTGGCACATAATATTAATAAACACTCATTAAGATTTTACTTTTGGTTGTCCTGAACATTAGTCTGCTTTGACATAGAATTCTTTTTCTGAAGATGTGCTATAATTTTGATAAGAGTATACAACTATTATTTGCATGTTCAAATAAACATGTTTTTATGAAGGTACTTGGTGTTCATTAACAAATGCTAAAAGGATTTCTTTTCCTCTGCTGAGATATAATATTAAACTTGTACACACAATATTTCTGATCACTGATCTTCTCCTATAACTCTAAAATTATATGTAAAACAGTTAAAAACTACTCAGTGCACTCTTTGGAATAAATGCATTTCTCCTATAAGAAGCATCATTGAGTTTTTTATTCAGGAAGCAATTAGGTTGCAAATTGAAAAGAGTTTCCAACATCATAACCCAACTGAAAATGCCAAGTTGTCTGGGTCTAATGTCCAGAAGTCATTGTGGCTCTGTGGTCAGTGTTCTGCATTAGGGATTCCTACACCCAAGCTGCATTAAGATGTAGTGCAATAACCCAGCACCTGTGTCAATAAAGGTGGACAATTTCTAGGGTTCCACAAGGGGCTGTCAGTATCCTTCTCGTTATTCCCCTAGCCTTTGTTTCACAGCCCAGTGGCTTCGGTCACTATGTCCATTTTCTTATCTCTTAGGGACTATTCAACTCACTGTATTTTGTTACTCTTCCCATCATAGACTAAACTGTTGTTATATAAGATCATCTAAATGACCTTTCATAGCTAAACCCTGTAACTTCAGCCCTTGTCTTACTTGGTTTGGAGCCATTTTGAATTGGAGGAATCCCATTCACTGCACCAGGGTGTGGACTCTAATCCCCTGGAGAGCTTTATAGACCCCTAGGGAAAGCCCCTCTGCAGTCAGATTAAAGACAGTATCAGAGTAAACCCATGAGAAGCTTCCAAACTCAATCCCAGATCATATTTCTTACAATGAATGCTGGTCTGATGATTTCCATAGAATCTGTATCATAATTTGATGAGAGTATGCAAAAGCTGTCACTTATCGACTTCAGCATACTGGATGCTTCCAACTAATCATCTCCATGCAGGGGAGCTTGGCCTGAAACATTGCCTGTTGCTTTTCATTATCTTGGAGAATAATTTAGGTAGAATTACTGTTCAATTTTTGTATCTCCTGTTTAAGAAAACCTGTTTCTTTTACGGCTCTTTGACTTTCATTTTCTCTTTTTCTTCCTACCGACCTGGCTGCTTCTTAAAGGGGCAGCAACAAGTTTCCTGTTGCCTCCTGTGGGCAGTGGCCACAGATTGGCTTCTTTTTACTCTTTTATACTCCATGGCATATTCTGGAAGTAGTTGTCTTTTTTTGTTGTTGTTTGTTTTGTTTTTGTTTGGAACTGCTATCATGTGAATATGACATTCTCATTTTTTTACTCATGTTGCAAAATTCACTAAGACCCCTTTGTTAAAATGACATTTTAGATGATACTACTTTAAATAATGTAATAGTGTGTTTAAGGGAGCCTGATTAAAATCATAAAATGCAATTGAAATCAAAACAGAGGGATAAATTGTGATATTACAAATGAGAACTGGACTTCTAGGTAAAGCCAGGAATAAAGCTGAGAGGTAATCTTTGGGACACAATTTTTTTTTTTTTTTGAGATTAGGTCTTGCTTCTTGCTCTGTTGCCTAGGCTGGAGTACAGTGGCTCATTGTAACCTTGTACTCTTAGGTTCAAGCAATCCTCCCATCTCAGTCTCTTGAGTAGCTGGGACTACAGGTGTACACTACCACCCCTGGCTCATTAAAAAAATTTCTGTATAGATGGGGTCTCATTATATTGCCCAAGCTGGTTGTGAACTCCTAATCTCAAGTGATCCTCTCCCCTTGGCCTCCCCAAATGCTCGGATTCCAGGTGTGAGCCACTGTGCCTGGGCTTGTACATCCTTTCTTATAAGGCCACAGCATTATTACCATTATCAAACAGGGACATACAAGTACAGGTTAAATATCCCCTATCTGAAGTGCTTGGGAGCAGAAGTGTTTCAGATTTTTTTTTTTTCTTCAGATTTTGAAATATTTTCATATATGTAGAGAAATGTTTATGCAAATCTTGAGGGTAGAACCCAAGTCTAAACATGAAATCTATGTTTCATAAACACATAGCCTGAAGGTAATTTTATATAGTATTTTAAGTAATTTTGTGCATGTAGCAAAGTTTGTGTACACTGAACTGTCAGAAAGCAAAGGTGACTCTATCTGAGCCACCCATGGGGGCAATCTGTAGTTGTCTGGCATCCCCATCCTTCCTGAGGCTGAATTTATATGCTACAGATAAGCAATTACTTTCTTACACCTATTTACACAAAAGCACTTGACAGTAAAAAATATGGGTCAGATGCAGTGGCTCATGCCTGTAATCCTAGCACTTTGGGAGGCCGAGGTGGGCGGATCACGAGGTCAGGAGATCGAGACCAGTCTGGCCAACATGGTGAAACCCCGTTTCTACTAAAAATACAAAAAATTAGCCAGGCGTGGTGGTGTCTGCCTGTAATCCCAGCTATTCAGAAGTCTGAGGCAGGAGAATTGCTTGAATCTGGGAGGCAGAGGTTGCAGTGAGCCAAGATCGTGCACAGTACTACAGCCTGGCGATGGAGCGAGACTCTGTCTCAAAAAAAAAAAAAAGACATGTCATTATCACAGTGAGAAAATAATGTGTCAGGGTAACTAAGCAGCACAGGAGCATCAGCAGACACCTATACCAGCTGTTAAACCACAGCAACAACAAACAACAGCAGGCTTTCAGTCTCCATCTGTGATGCCTCGGTTTGATTAATAGATTGCTGTAACTATATCTTGGTTTTTGGGGTGAAAGAAACATCAAAAGCATTGAAGGACTGGGAAATTGTGTTCTCTAGGAATAAGGAGGCATTCTGCTGGATGGCTTTTAAAGGTGTTTCCCCCAGAGTCATCTCCCTCATCAGCCATGATTTTTGTCTTACAAGTCTTTGATTTTATAAACTGACATGATTTCATGTTTCATTATGAATGCATACTGCCCTAGCCCTTCAATAAGCCCTTCACACATTATCAGCATGCTGTCTATAGGCACTTTTTCTGCAGTGTTGACATTGTCATCATTGTCACTATTATAGGCTGAGTATCCATTATCTGAAATGCTTGGGACCAGAGGGGTGGAATTTTCCACTTCTAGTGCCATGTTGGTACTCAAAAAGTTTTGGAGTTTGGGACATTTTGGATTTTCAAATTAAGGAAGCTTAACCTGTAGTTGTATAATTTATGACATTTGAAGAAAATAACAGTAACTCAGCTGCTCAGGAGCAATATTCATGATGCTGAAATCAGAGGGAATTTTTTTTTTTAAGTTTCTGGTTTCACTTGGTGCCCAGTAGGTGTGTTCTTTTAACTGGTGTGGTCTGTACTTTGTTTGTTACTGGTCTGTGACAGGTAAGTACAGAAAATGAGAGTATGTTTGGAAGCTTTTATAGCAAGTTGATGTTCTGAGGCATTCACATCTAATCATTTTTTTAGTAATTCACCTTCAGTTGTCTTTTACAGAAGAACCAGTTCATGATGGATTAGAAATTTAAAATGAGGATGCTGATAATAACAAGTTCTTTCTTGCAGACAGTTCGAGAAGCACTGGTTTAGAGGATCTTGTGTAAAGTGATTACTAATAACATCCATATAGTAAGCTCTATGTTGATCTCTCATTGAACAGAATATTCCGTTGGCTGATGGCCTATTGTCAGCATGCTCTTCAGCTAAAGCAGTTTTCTAGGGACTCAAATTTCTACCCCTTGTATAATCCGGCTTTTATTTAAATTTTGCTTTATTTCCAAATTTTTACTTACTTTCTGGATAAATAATATATACACCTAATCAATGCAAATGGGTATTCAGGTGAGTCTTCTTCCTATGCAGGTCCCCCACCTCCCCATTTCCTCTTCTCAGAGAAACCCCTGTTGCTTGTTCACTTTTTTTGTTTTGTTTTTCACACAGGGTCTTGCTGTGTCGCCCAGGCTGGAGTATAGTGGTATGATCATAGCTCACTGCAGCCTTGACTTCCTGGGCACAAGAAATCCTCCCTCCTCAACCTCCCAACTAGCTAGAACTCAGGCCCGAATCACTGTGCTCAGCCTATTTATTTATTAAAAGATTTTTAAATAAATTCCTAATCCTTAGAACCTGTGAAAAAGAGCACAGGTGTTAGGTTAGATCTTGGCACCTTGTGACCCTGAATAAACTTTAGCCTTTACAAACCTCAGTTTCATAACTTACAGAGTAAGGATAATTAACACTTAATTGCAGGGTTGTTGGCACATAACATAGCTCTCAATAAATGATATGGTAATTATAATCCGAAGCACTTTAGAATACACATTAAGATATATAGAAGATTCAAAATTACAAATGTGCATATTAAATATATTTAATGATTATTTGGGAAAGATAAAAATTAAGATATTAATGTTTTGTACTTTGAAGTGAATTTTTAAAAACTGCTTATTTTCCATTGCAAGATGTAAAAGTGTGATATGATAGTATATTTGCAAAAGTGAATCACTGCTTTCTGG